CAAAGAAAATATGTTCTTGATTTGTTGGATGAAACAAGACTCTTAGGTGCAAAATTAGTTGAAAATCCCATGGAACCAAATGCTAAGTTGAGTAGTGATACAGGGGAAATATTTGATGATCTTGGAAGATACAGACGGTTAGTGGGGAAGCTGAACTATTTGACTATCACAAGACTAGAATTTCCTTTGCAGTTATTGTGGTGAACCAATTTATGCAGAACCTCGAATACCTCATTGGGATGCGGTTCTTAGAATTGTAACGTACATGAAGGGAGCTCTAGGCCGGGTTATTGTACAAAATAGGATGAAGACTTGAGGTAATTGGGTATACAAATGCAGATTGGGTAGGCTCAGTGTCGGATAGAAGATGTATTACAGGTTATTGTATGTTTCTTGGAGGAAATCTTGTGACATGAAAGAGTAAGAAGCAGATTGTTGTGGCAAGGAGTATTGCTAAAGCTGAATACAGGGCCATGGCACACACTACATGTGAATTAGTATGGCTGAGGAATCTCATACAAGAAATTGGATTCTCCATGGATAGACCTATGAAATTGTACTGTGACAATCAAGCTGCACTTCACATCTCATCTAACCATATTTTTCATGAGAGAGCAGCTGAGGAATCTCATACAAGAAATTGGATTCTCCATGGAYAGACCTATGAAATTGTACTGTGACAATCAAATTACACTTCACATCTCATCTAACCATATTTTTCATGAGAGAGCAAAGCACATAGAGATTGATTGCCACTTCATGAGGGAGAAGGTCTTTACTGAGAGATAAGCACAAAACATATGGGCTCAAGTGATTAATGGGCAGATTTGTTTACAAAAGGCTTAAGCTCAGGGAGAGCGAACTATGTAACAAGCTGAGATTATATGACATATATTCTCCAGCTTGAGGGGGAGTGTTAGAGCTAGCCGAATAAGGGTAGATTAGTCATTTTTACTCAGTTAAGTTATGTGCTTATGTGGTAGTTCGAATATGACTTCTTGTCTCATACTTAAGTGGGGGCAGTTTAGTCATTGTACAATTAATTAGAGACTACTCTTCATTATGGTCGATTGATAGGGTTTAGCTATTAGATTCTTCTTCTTCTTCTTCTTCTTCTTCTTCTGGTTCAAACTGCTGTAGCCAATGAACAAACACTCATCCTATATTTGCTAATGACCTCATAATCTTTGGATCTTTGGAAGATGTAGTCATACAAAAATCGCTCGCATTCTTTCATATTCTCCATGAATTTTGTTCATGGTCTAGGTAGGAGGAAATCAACTTTAATAGATCATCCATCTTCTTCAGTACAAATACTCATAGAAGAATTTTTCCATACAATTTGGTCCTTTCCTTTATGAAGCGTACTTACAGATATTTGGTGTTGGTAGAAGTGTGCTCATCACCACTTCTCTCCAATCTTTTCCTTAATACATTGAAAACTCCAATTTCTTGAGAGTCAAGAATAACAACAGCTCCTCATATACATATACACGGAGAGGAATCCTTAAATATAGATCAATTTTACAAAAGGATTATCCATGGTTAATGGAAAATGGATGGAATGTCAATGTTACCATGGACACATGGTTGCCAACTGAAATTCAAACAAATCATACCCTTACCATGCAAGTGACTACAAAGCTTGCAAGTCTAATTGATCATTCTACAATGACTTGGCGCCAAGAGTTGGTGAATCACTTATTTGGAATAGCCACTACTAGCAGAATCCATAATCTAACCCTCCCAACTCCAAATTCCTAGATGGAGGACACTTTAGGGTACAAAATCCTCTTGGCAGACAAGCCCCTAAATTCCTCTAGGGGTGCAAATGAATTGGATCACGATCTGAGATTTGATCCCATTTGGTCGAATTAGGATCACTCCTGTTCGGATCAGATAATAGGATCCGATCAGAAATTGGATCGGAATCGGATCACCCCTATCAAATTTGTGCGAGAAGATCCAATTTAATATATATATATATATGTTATTTATTTATTTATAAATATATTTTTTATAAATTTGTTATATTATTTATTTTTATAAAAAACATGTATATATATGATGAAAATAATTAAAAAATACTTATATTTTTTTACTTTATTTAACTTAATATATTTTATCTTTCTTTTAATAATTTATTAATTTTTAAAGAAAACAAGTCGAGTCGGATCGAATCAAATTCGAAGATCCAACTTACCGATAGGATTCAAGAAGATCCTCATGGGGATTATAGTCAGAGATCATGAGGGTTCCTTTGTCTTTGTTCGAGCTATTCCATGCAAAGCTTTAATTAATTCCTATTGTATATGAAGCCACTGCACTTTTGGAGAGTATAAAATTTGCTATTTCTTTGGGAATCTCTCACACCATCTCTGAAGGTGACAATGATGTTATTGTCAAGACCTTGTTGGAGGAGTTCTCCTCCTTGGAATATCTTTACTCTAATAGCCAGTTGCAAGAGGCCTGGATGGTTCCTCAGTTACTTTCACTCCTAGATCAGGCAATCAAGTAGCACATCATCTATCTAGATTTGCCATTTCTTGTAACTTTGTACAAACTTGGTCATTAGCGCTAGTTTTATCTCTTCTCTTCTGATCAAAGATGCAACTTGGTAGTTGAATGAATTTGCCCATGGGCTTTCCAAAAAAAACAAGGTTGAGATGGTTGATGGTCACTTGGCATCATTCCAAACATGTAGCCGTGGGATCAAACCTGTGCGACTGCAGTCTCTTTGTGGTAAAGTAAGTGGTCTCAGAGAACCATTCAACCTAAAAGCTTAAGCTGTTAAGTGAGGTCCTTGAATAGGTTTTATTATCTAACATGCTCCATCACACGAAAGCTCATTGGGCTTGAAGCGAGGACAACACAGGTCCACCCATACCTTGTGCTGAAACTTAATTAATTATAATGGGGTGACAAGAATCGAACCCTAAACCACTTGGTCAAAATGACTCTAATACCATCTCAGAGAACCTTTCAAATTTCAACTTAAAATCTTAAGTTGTTAAGTGAGGTCCTTGAATAGGTTTTACTCTCTAACATATATAATTGGGTATTTTAAATAACAAAATATTTAACATAACTAGATTTTAAATAGTTAAAATAAAGAAATTATGTAATAAATTTAAAAAATTTATGAAAAGTAGAAAAATAATTATAACATAATATTGAAATTAATAATAATTTAATATTTTTACATAATATTGTAAATAACTAATTTCACTTATATCAAGTAATAATTCGAGAAAAT